AAAGAGAACATTTCAAGACTGCTGAAACGGGTGGGGGGGGGGGAGTAAACTAATATGAATTCAGAAATACTCAAACAACAACATAAAGAACCTACATGCTTTTAGTACTTTAAAGTTTCAATATGGTTTTATGACAGCTGGTGAGCTGTTTGTCCTTGATCCAGTCAGCAATGAGAAGCTCTAGAACAAAAGGAAAAGGAAAAGGCTATAAAAGTTGATCTAACACTGAACAGAAAATAAACGTAAGAAAAGGCAGCTTTCCTCACCCCACTTTGGAGTCTGGGTGGCGCAAGTGGTTTACCCAGCTGTTAACCTAAAGGTTGGCAATTGGAACCCATCAGTGGCTCTTTGGAGGAAAGACCTGGTGAACTACGGAGAAGTTATCCTCTGTAACACATGGGGTCGCCATGAGTGGGGGGGTGGCAACTCTGGGACTGGTAACAACTGAACTCATCTGACTCCTGCTACTTGCGAGTGGCAGCTGGCTATGTGCTTGACTTGGCACAAAGTGCTCCCTCCCACCCAGTCTCCTTGCTGCAGTTGATTGCGTGTCTGGGGCAGGAAGCAGAACTCCCCAAGGGGCCGCCCCAAGATAACCCACTGAAAGGGATGAGGGCATCTCCAAAGACCCTCTTCCCTTCCTCCATAGAATGGTTTGGTGTTGGGCCTCCCTCTGGTGGTGCCCGTTTGGGCAGAATGGAACAAGTGGGCCCTGGGAGGGCAGGCGAGGGTCCGAGGTGTGTCTTTCCAGATTCTGGCCGGTGGTGGCGATCAAAGTGCCTGTCTTCCTTCTCAGCACAGCGCTGACACCCAATCCACTCTCCTCAGCTCCCTCCCCAGCATCCGCTAAGGCGAACGCTGACCACGCCCCCTACTAGACCCCGCGCTCCCGCCCACGGCCGCCATTTTCCCCGCAGCCTCTTCCCCAGCCCTTTCTGAGAAATGCAATATCCTCGAGGCGGGAGGGGGACATTTGAGGGTTTTAGGAAAGCGGGAAAGAAGAGGGAGGAATATATTCCTGCCAATCTCTTCGTCTCCTGGGCCCCCACCTACCTCATGCTTTCCCTCTCGGTAGTGCAGCACTAGTGTGGGGAAAGCGGACTGGGGAGCTTGAGAGGAGAAGCTTAGACCCAACAATGGGCATCGGCACCCCCACCCCACAGGACCTAGGGCACAGCTACTCTGATAGCCCAAACGAATCCAAGCTTTGTCCTCCTTCCCTTGCTAGAGCTCATTTCCTTCATCTCTCCCACCCTCACTTCAGCTTTTTGCGTCTTTCCCCTAGACGGTTGATTCTCACCCTCTCTGAGACTCGCTTGACTGCTAACCAGAAAGCAGACGGTTCAAACCCACTAGTCACTCCTCGGAAGGAAGGTTGCGCAATCTACTTCCATAGTGATACCGCCTCGGAAACCCAAGGAGGGGTCGCTATGAGTCGGGTCCGACTTGGCACATAACAACAACAACAAAGTGGGATGGCAATGACATTGTGTGTGAGAAAAACAAGCTTGTGCAAAGCGGGAGAAGGGTGCAGGAGGAGGGCAAAAGGGAGGGAATGAGAAAAAGGTCCCAGGAAAATGGTCTTCACCACATGCTTGTATATATTCTAATCTAGCATATAGTCAGACAAAGCATTTTTGTTCCAGTTACCCTGCAGTCTGACTCATGGCGACCCCAGATGTGTCAGAGTAGAAATGTGTCCCATGCAATGGTTGGTATTTCAGAAGTAGATTGCCAGGCCTTTCTTCTCACGTGCCTCTGGGTGGACTAGAAACTCCAACCTTTCCAGTAGCAGCTGGAAGACAGAGACTCCAGACAAAGCATTGGAATAGCTAAATGGTTCAGAAACCAATTACCGAATAAATGTCAGGGATTCTTAGACTCTGACTCTCAGTACCCACCTCTTCCTTCAGAAGCCTAACAGATGGCTGGAAGGATGTGTTCTGAGTCTGTGCTTATCAGTGCTGGAGGACTTCCAAATACAGGCTTCAGGTACCCTCTAATCCCTTGCCTCCCTGGTGGGATCCCACCCCTGCAGTAACCTGGTGACTTCAGGGACAGGGTGGCTTTGCCTTCATGAGACTAAGTTTTAGTCAATTCTGGGAGCAAGCAATGGCTCTTGTGACTCTCTCTAGTTGGTACTGGGCACAAACAGAATTCCATCCAGCAGCGGCTAGCTGTTTTGCAATAGCCCTTGAGGCCCATCTTGGAGAAATCCTCATTTTTGCTGACAGCACTAGGATTTCTCCCTGATGGAAAAGGACCTTGTAAATGATTTTGCAGTGTATTTCCATGTCAGTTTGCTTGGGGAGAGAGTCGGGGAAGGGAAGGCCTAGAATGTATGCCATATTGACAGACAGGTGGTCTTCACTTAAGTAGCCTTGATGACACAGTGCCTAAGGCGTTTGACTGCTAACCAGAAGGTTGGCAGTTCAAACCTACCAGCCACTCCCCAGAAGGAAGATGGGGCAATCTACTTCCGTAAACATTTACCACCTTGGAAATCCAGTGGGGGCCGCTATGAGTTGGAATCGCCTCAATGGCAGTGGGTTTGTCTCCACTTTAGTTATCTCCTTTATTGTTGAATAAATGAATGAATGCATGAATTAATGACTGGTCGAATCAAGGAATCCACACATAAGCCAGTCTTTCTCAAACTGGAGCAAATTACCTAGATAGCCTATTAAAACACAGATTGCTGGTCCCTCCCCAGAGTGTCTGATTCAGTGGGTCTAGAGTAGGATCCGAGAATGTTTATTTCTGACAAGGTCCCAGCTGATGCTGATGTTGCTGGTCCATTGGCCACACTCTGAGAACCAGTGGCACAAAGCATCAATGGAGACTTCATTAGGCCAAGACTATCGAGACTGCAAACTTTCTGCTTGATCCTGCCACTTAGTTCATGTGCACAGCCTAAAATGAATCTCGACTTAAGTGGTTGGGGGACATGGATAGGTTGCATACTTTACTGCCTACTACGCTCCTGGGTGGAGTTTGGTTTCAGATCACCATTGGGGTGTGTGTGTGTGTATGGCATGCACACCAGCGTCTGTGCACCTGGTACTGCTCTTTGCACATCTCTCATCTGTCTGCCGATCTTCAGGGTGTCTTTTGACTGCTTCCCTAAACCCTTCTAAATTTTCTTGTCCATCAAAGAAATGAAACAAATCTGGGGGTTCAGCCTATCCTTTCCTGGGATTGATGACATCTAGTGGCTAACTGGAGAATCTTGACTCATACTTGGAGAACATTCTGCAAAATTAATTGGATGGTCTGGGAAGCAAAACATCTACTCATGAATCCTCTAAGAAGGGCTTCAGAGGGCATCATAATAACTGGCTTAGTAGGGAGTAAGAGTCAAAATGGGTTTCTTGGTCTCTTGACATCTATGATAAAAAACAGAAGTCACCAAATCTGCATTTTCAGTTAAAATGGTTTTCTAGAAGTGGTTCTCAATGAAGAGTCCCTGAATGAAATGAAGTCAAAGTACTACCAACTTAGTATTTGGCTATCTTAGAGCATTGCCCCAGGTCCTAAGGCCATAGTGATACTGCCTTGGAAACCCAAGGAGGGGTAGCTATGAGTTGGGGCCAACTTGACGGCACATTAGCAACAAGGCCTAAACAATCCAAGATAACAGTCCAGTTCCAGGCTGATCAGATTTACAATGAGATCTACAGAAATTTTGAGTCCAACTAGTACCACTGGCTTATGTCCAGACCTGCAGGTCATTGAGTAGTAGAACCGTTAAAGGCATCGTGATTGGGACAGAATTGTAAGATAACCCCTGATGCTGTTCAGAGTTCTCATGGCAGGTACAAGGTATTATAAATGGGCAGGTTTATATATGCCTTTAGCCACTGCAGAGCTGTGATGGTTGTCAACGCCTGGTCATGAGACCAGCATTATCAGCACATTCTCAGGACCCACCCCAGAATCAGAAACTCCAGGAATGAGGCCCAGCAACCAGTGTTAAGCTCTGCAGATGATTCTGATGCATGCTGAAGTTTGAGACCCAATGGCTTAAAACAAGCTTTAGATGCCCTGAAAAATCTAAAAGTAAAGGGTGTCCATAAGCTCTATTAAGGAATTCATGGAAGAAATTGAATGATTTCTAGAATGACACAGTCCCAATTATTTTCTAAAACATAACTGGTGCCTTAGATTTAGTTCATAGTTAAATGAAAGGAAAAGAACTGCTTTTACTTATTTGGAGTTTGAAGAATACTGTCTTGATAAACTAGAGTCTGTGAGTAGCTCAACAGTCCTAAGGACATGGGGATAAGTTTAAAAACAAACAGAAAAATGGCTGACCCTCGATATTAATCTGGACACTGTTTTCAACTAACAAACTGGCAAAGAAAAAAGAGTAACATGTATCACTGAGGAGGGGCTGGCGAAAAAATAAAACATACAGGCCTGGTGAAAACACAAAGTACCATAATCTCTCTAGTAATACACATCAAAAGCCTGGAAAATATGTATACCTTTGACTCAGCAATCCCACTTCTAGTGATGTATCTTTAAAATAATGATGTGTTAAGAGGCACTAGGTATAAGGATACTCATGTCTTGTTTACAATTAAAAAATTCAAAGAAATTTAAGTTTCAATAGCAGAGATTGTTAAGTATATCACACTGTGCCTATATGGTAGAACATAGTAATAATCAGACTGTGTCAGATTATTTTCCAGTTTTTAAAAGGAAGATTTATTTAACAAGTTTCACTTAGTACAATACATCTAAATGGAAATCACAATACAGGAAAGATTTAAATCAAAGCCTCAGAGTTTCATACAAACAACACGACCAAACTCCTAAAGTATTGGTATTACATCTCAAAATTGTCCCAGATCTTTAAAAAAAAAAATAAAAGTGTACACTCACGTGCCTTACAGGATATTAAATCAAAAAGCTAGAATTAACAAACATGCCAAATGTTTTCACTTTGAATCGTAGACACAGCTCCTATATTTGAATTTTACAGAAAAGCATGTTTCTCAACATGCATCCAAAGTTTTCAATGTATTGTGGTATAAGAGCAACATTTAACATAAGTGAAACTGTCTTAACCTAAATACGCTTACTGCTTAGATACACTCCTACAACGTAACTAACTTTAGGAAAGCTGAAAATTGTTTTAACAGTTATGGTCAATACTGAACTTTGTTATTACATCCTAGATGAATGTTTCAGTGTTCAAAATTACTGAGCTTGAAGTTTTAAAACAATCCCGACTTCCACTTAACAGTAAGCATGAATCACAAGCCTGTAATGCAAAACTGTTAAACTTAATTTTTTGTTTATTTTCTTAAAAAAGGAAGAAAGGAAGGAAAAAAAGAAAGAAAGAAGCTGACCAAGAGTGATCAGAATCAGCTATATTTCCCATTTACCAACCATACTGGATATGCTAGACATCCCTCCTCCCATACTAGTCAACTCCCATAAATGCACAGCTTTTATTTCTGTAACAGCTGTTTAGGGCGCCTTCTCTACCTAAGCAAGGTTGGACTGATAGTCACTGGAGTTCTCCTGCAGAACTTGGTCATATCCACTCATGCTGCTCTGACCGCCATAACCACCTCCATAACCACCACTCAGCTGCTGGCTAGCAGGACCCCCATAACTAGACTGGTTGGATAAGCCCATGCCTCCCATCATTTGGCTCCCATAAGCACCACCACTTGCACCTGCTGTAGAATTCAAAAAGAGTTCTACATAGCTGTGATCATAAGCCCCCCCACTTGTTCCTGCAGTAGAATTCAAGAACAGCTCCACATATCTGTGTTGCATATTAGCTTTGTCTTTTGCCATAGCTGCCACAGCATCTTCATGAGTAGCAAATTCAACATCTGCCTCCCCAGTAACTCTGCCATCAGGTCCAATTTCAATGTGTACTCTCATGGGGTTAAGAGGTGAGAAAAAATTGTAAATATCATTCTCAGTGGCTCTATAAGGTAACCCCCTCATGTGCACACAGTGCCCTGTGGTGCTCTGGAAACTGGACCCACCATCTCCATATCTATGATCAGACATTCCTGAAAAACAGTAATTGAGGTCTCTTCCAAATCTATCAGATCCAAAGCCATACCCATCATTATAGCCACCATAGTCATCATACCCTCCATACCCTCCCCCATAGGCACCCCGCCTCATCCTTTCAAACCCAGCTCCTCTGCCAATGCTATTATACCCTCTGCCAGCCCCTGGCCTATCATAGGGACCTGGCCGCTGCATAGCCATGAGCTTTCGAGGAGGATCATAGTGGGTTCGAACTTCAGCTCGGCTACTCTTGAAGATTTCAATGTACCTGTGCCCTATTCTTTCCTTGTGTTTCTTTAAGGCCTTTTCAGCTATCTCCTGCGAAGCAAACTGCACAAAGGCCTCCCCTGTGCTCCGCCCCTGAAAGTCCACCGGCAGTGTCATCCCATTTGGCACAATTTCCAACCCTGAAAAGAACTGAACAATTTCTTCCTTGCTACAGCCAAATGGGAGTCCTCTAAGCCGGACGAAGCCATCATTAGCAGTATCAGGGCTATTCGGACCTGTATGCTTCAACACCCAATCCATTTCAACACTGTTGGACTTGAATACTTCCACGTATCTGTGTCCCATGGTTTCTCTGTCCTTCTTCAAAGCCAATTTCACTTCATCTTCAGATTCAAGTTCAACAAATGCTTCACCACTTGGTCTGCCTTCTCTGGTATAGATGAAACGAATACCTGATGTGCCATTTTGGATTTTACAATCAGAGAAGAAGCGCATCACTTCATCGGCTGAGCAGGACCAGGGTAGGCCCCTGACCTTCACCACGAACCCCTCCCTGCCTTCTGTGCTCAGCATCATGGTGACTTCTGGAATCTCGGTGGCAAGTTAGGCTCAACGCAATTTCAGGACGGCTGGGAAAAAAAATAAAAAGACTACTGTCATGGAAAAATGTTCACACTATAGTAAGTAAAAAAGCAAACTACTGACAGCTTTTTGTAAAACATTCGTATAAGCAAAAAGACTGTACCAACTAATGTCACGAAACAATGTGTATAAAGCATTGAATGGGAAACCAATGTGCTGTTTCATCCAAACTACAATTAAAAAAAAAAAAAGACCACACAAATTTTTAATTCATTCATTCATTCAACAACCACTTAAAACCAAAACCAAACTCACTGCCATGGAGTAGGATCCAACTCATAGTGAGCCCTTCTTGGGTTTCCGAGGTGATTATCACTATGGAAGTAGATTGCTCAACCTTGCTTCCGAGGAGTGGCTGGTGGGTTTGAACCGCCAGCCTTCTGGTTAGCAGTCAAGTGCCTTAGGCACTATGCCACCAGAACTCCAAGTCCATTAAAAGTGGTTAATTTTGGGTGGTAGGCTTATGTCTTTTGTTTCAAGGAACTTTTTTCCTTTAGATATTTCTGTATGCTCAAAGTTTTCTGTACCGAACATGTTTTGTCATAAGGAAAAAAGACTTAAAAATTTACAGCAACAAAATCAGTGGAAGATGGTCTTGCAACAAATACATAACCTTATTATTAAAAAAAAAAAAAAACTCATGTAAACCAACAAACTCAGAGAAATACCAAGACCTAAGAGATAAATATAAGAGAGACATTATGGGGATTTCAGCCATTCGTTTTAGAAACGTTTTTATAGTTGCCAGATTGAGCAACTGACTCTGGTGTACAAGTATCAATGAGCCCCAGGCTTATGGTCCTATAGGACTGTGTGTCTTCATCTAAGACAGAAGTACGAAAACACACTATGCCTGCCATGACAGAACTCTGTGCAGGGGATAAAGATGGTATCAAGGATGGATTGATTGGTTGCTCAATTGTATTGGTTGGAGATAGGATGGTTAAATTAAACAAACTAACCAGTTGAAGGATATAAAAACAAATTTTAAAAAATATGATGGTGCACAGAACAGGAGAGAGCAAGGCAACAGATAGACTGGTAAGGTAGAAACCAGATTCGGAAGGTCTTATTTGATATACAAATGCTAAAGGCCTTTTAAGGGATTTAAACAGAGGAGTGAGGGGAGTGATGTCATCAGAACCTTTTCAGACACATCACCCTGGCAACAGTGTGGCACTCAAACAGAAGGGGGTTGGGGTGAAGCTAGCCAGATGAGTTAGAATATAAAGTGTTAAAAGGTTTCACCTAAGGCAACAGTAAAGGGAGAGGAAGGATCTGATCTAAGCATATCAAAGAAGTGGAATCTCTCGACTTGATGACAGATTAGCTATTGGGGGGTGGGGGTAAAAGGAGAGGAGCCTGGGAAATATAAACAGCTAATAAGTACTGGAAAAAATGTTCAAATATCACCAATCATTAGAAATTCAAGGTAAAACCAGAATTAATCACCATTTTCACCCACCAAGACAGTAGAAAACTAAACAAAGTACAGCACCATCAGGTTTCACAAATACACTACTAGGGGAGTGAAAATTCATGCATTTCTGGAAATCAATTTGGTATTATGTACTATATCTTTTGACAAAGTAAATCCACTTTAGGTTATGTGCCCTCAGGCAATGATTTGAAATTCAGATAGGGACGGAATAGTATACACTCAGAAAAAGCTATAAAAATATTCACTAATTTGAGAAATTACTTATGCTATAATTTTAAGTGGCCCATGATCATAGCTACTTTATAATTTCAACTATGTAAAATATATATATTCACATGCTCTTTGACCCTATGATTCTACTTCTAGGAATCTAGTCAACAAATAAAAATGTCCAGAATCAGTCGTGTTAAGCTTAGCCGATGGTTAATCTTCTATAATTCTCCCACTTCTCTGCCTTATGGTGGTGGCAGCATTCACAAGTCTCTGATACACTGGGCGCTTAGGGTTCTGTTGAGTGCATTACAGCTATGGTGTCCACTAGCCAGATTTTACTTCCATTAAAATGTTAAGTATTAACAAAATACAAATGTTCACTACAGCAGTTAGAATGGCAGAAAATTAGAAACCTAAATAAATATTCCTCAATAGGGGGATGGCTGAATGAATTACACTTTATTCTTAAAATGGAATGCTATACAGCAGTTTTAAAAGAGTGATCCATCTGCCCTAACTAGAAAGATTTCCAAAATATATGAAATGAAAGAATATGCACATGTGATCCTGCTTACATTAAAACTTAAGTGTGCCTGTACACATGTATGTAAATACACAGAAAAAGATCTGGAAGCATAAAATGTAAACTTGTTTTTAAGAAAAGAACTGGAGGGGAAGGGGAGTAAAGGGTGATATTTACTTTTTACCCTATATAAGTCTATACTAATTCTTTAAAATCACTGTTTGTAACAACTGGAATTAAAAAAAAGTTAGAGAAAAAATATATGCGTAGGGAATTTGCCTAATGTTAATAGTGGTTACTTTAAGCTGTAGTTTTACAGATTTTCCTATTTAATTTTTTTGTACATTCTTAATTTTCTGCAGAGATAATTTGGTCATTTATTTCAGAAAAATATATAAAATAAAATGTTTGATTTTCTGGCATTTGGTATAGCAGATTTGATAGTTTTCTAGTTTTGCATGTGGATGGCCTATGTGACACGATCTGGGAACACTGGACCTCCTGTAGGAAAGTACAAAGTGTAACAATCGCCATTATTAAATTAAATAAACATGGACTAATTGCTTATTATGTGCCTGGCACACTGCATGTGCACTGATAAGTCTTCCTATAAAACATCCTTAGGTTTGAGTGATAGATTTAAAGATTTTTTTTTTTTATCCCTGGGATGACCCATCCCATTTAATGTCCCTGAAGCACTCTATGCCTTAAAATCCCCTCTGTAGTGTGACAGGGAGGTTCTGCTTCATTATTTTATCTCCTGAGAAGACCACTAGGGCACTGATACTTAAAGTGGGAACTAGATTCCATTTGAGAGATAAGAATTGTGTCTTTATATATGAGTTACAGACACACTTTAAAAAAATTGTAATGACTTGTGGAATAAATGTATTTTCTTCTTGGCCAAAAAAAAAAAAAAAAAAAATACACCATAATGTTGAGCAGTTATCTCAGATAGTGAAATACGTGTAGTTTTTTTAAAAAATTTATAGTATGCTATTATTTTTCAAATGTTTGAGAATGAACATATATTATTGTTATAAGCAGAAAAATAAACGTTATTTAAATATTCAATTCAGTAAAAACATTTATTGGGCGCCTCTATCTAGCAGGCACGCAGCATTTGCCTAGATTTGACTCTACGGATATAATTCACTTGGTACCTCCCCCTACAGACAATCAGACGGTGAAGATTTAAGTGCTTGAATTGGGTGGACCAGCACTCAGACCACTGGTCTCGATATATGTTTATCCTAATTCAAGGCCATAGTTTTCAAACATTTTTCACCTTACGGTTCTACTTAGGAATCCTCAGATACCCGCTCAGACAGACAGATACACAAAAACACATACAGTCACGAACGTCCACCATTTCCCCACCAGGCGCAGCAAAGGCGGCTTCCCGGCACTGAGATGGGGGGGGGAGTGGGGGAGGGGTAGGCAGAAATTAAAAAGACGGAGGCGGCCTCCGGACCCCGCTTTGGTCTCCACCATCACCACCCATGGGTCCCCAGTTCCCACCCACACACCAACCTCTAATGATACCGGGTAATTTTCCTCCTTCTTCCCTCAAACGGCTACAGCGAGACGATAGACGACGACCAGAACTACTTCTGCTCACGTAAGCGATTGGTCACGTGAGCTCCTACGTCATGTGAGATCTCGATCACATGAGCAACGCACAGCTTCAACTCGAGATCACTAAGGTGCCGCACTTCCTTCTGGTAAGGAAATAGGGCGGGCTGATATCAAGAAAAAAAAGAGTATGATTGGTTGCGATGCGCCTTACGTGACTGGTCATTGGTCTGCCTCTGGGGATAACCGTCCCAGTTGCCTGAGAAACAATAACGTCAGTATTTAATATCTCATCGGTGATTGGTCCGCCTCTAACATTAAACTTAAAAGTCCAGGTTACCCGCGGAAATCAGTCCTGTATGATCACGATGACGGGGAAGTTGATGAGCCGAGGTCAGCGGCTGGGCTGTGTGCTTGCGCTTAGTGTCCTAGCCTTATTTCTCAGGGGCGTCCCTTGGGCCAGGGCTCTTGACAATGGCTTGGCAATGACCCCCACCATGGGCTGGCTGCATTGGGAGCGCTTCATGTGCAACATTGACTGCAAGGAAGAGCCGGATTCCTGTGTCAGGTATCAGAAATAGTGGGTGCATCTCGCCCTTCACTTTTCTGTGTGTTTGTCAGGGTGTGTTTTGGGGGATACAGGGTCTCAGCGGAGACATTTGAGCCAGAGGGCGAGCTCCCCTATTGCTACTGCATTTTTATTCCCAGCAAATTATCTTGGGTGGGATTTGGCCTTAAACTTTCTCCGTGTCACCCGTTCTGGGGTGGGAGTCAAGCCAGCGACCCCTACTTCTCCCTGTCTCTCTTCCGTTACCATCTAGTTCCATTGAGACCCTTCTCGTGAGCTTTGCTCTGCCTGTGCCTGGTTCTACTAGTGAGCATAATTGGGGTGTGTAGGAGATATGAAGAACCAAGAGCCGTGCCATCTCTTCCCCTTTCTGGGTCACGGGTTACTTAGCTGTAACCCGAGCGTTTTAGACCATATGGTCTCTGAGATTCCCCCCTAGCCCCCTTTTCTCCCCTCTTCCTCGCCCTTGGGTGTGGCGTCAGGCTGGAAGGTTGACCTGGAGGATCTTTACCTACCAAAGATGAGAGTTGAGGTTGAATAAGATAGATACTGAACAATCTGATCTTCGCATTCCTTGTCTGTAAATTGGATTAACACTCTTACCTCATGAAGTCGACTCAGAAGACTGTAAGAAGCAGCCTGGGCAAATCGGAATTTAACATCAGAGAGGCTCAGCAATTAATGAAATGTAGATATGCAGCAGTCAGGACACAGCCAGAAACAGGTATGTGGGTAATTTGTTATCAGGAGTAGGAGGCTCCCTCTGAACCTGAGGAATGCAGTGTGTGGTGTCACATTTATCCTGGAGGAACTGCCATCGAAAGTTGAGAGTTGAGGATGAGGCTGTAAAAGAAAGAAGACCCTCTCTCAATCTGTTTCCTTATCTGTAATGGAAATAATAGTTGTTATCTCACACAGGTGAGCTTTGAATGAGATAATTCGTGTAAAGTACATAGCACAGTGCCTGACCAACTGCTCAATGATGCATATAGAGCAAATGTTCTTAACCTGGAGTCCATGGGGTAATGTAAATCTGTAAATGTGAGTATGGGTATTTTCCTGGAGAGAGGATCTCTAGTTTTCACTAGATTCTCAAGGGGATCTGTGCTATATAAAAGGTTAAGAATCACTGATATTAAAAATATAATAAGGCCACCCATGGAGCAGAGGTCCACCCCTCCAAAGGCAGCAGTCCTAGTACATCCTGTGTCTGTAAATGAGTCCTATGAATGTCTTTATAGATAAAGTCAGATATTGGTCACACATCACAGAAGAAACTGGCCTTTCAGGTTTCAGACTAAGTCCATTGTGACCCTGGGGAATAGTGTATCTGGTTATAAAGTTTATGCCTAATCATTACAAAAAAATGTAGGTAGTAAAGAAGAGTATAACAAAAATAAAGATTACTCCCATGGCACTATCCAGAAACAATCATGGCTACAATGTTAATATACATCTTTGCAATAGGTTTCTATTAAATACAAACACAGATTTCTTTTTTCAGTAAAAAATGGGATCATGTTTATGTAGATAGTGGTTAATAG